TTGCTATGTTCTTCGCTCACCTCTGAAGTTCCCAACACCATACAAAATGCTCTTTTGGTAAATTTACAAAATGACTGATTTGTGGCTTTCTTTGTAGTAAGTTGGGAGAAACCAAAGTGGAGATGGTCCATCAGGTAAAACTTCTACCAATCTGTTGGAAGGGTTTGGCTAAGTTAAGGTCCAGGGTAGATGTGGGTGAGTCACACATAGATGGGCTGCACGGGAGCTTTGCTGGTCCTGGGCTGGGGCCACGTGAGGACACCTCTGATTTAGGACAGCTTGGAGATACTAGCCCTCTCACGTGCCTTAGACTCACCTCTTAGTGTGCAGTCAGCTAGGACATGGGGGAGCCTTTATGGCAACTGTGGTAACTGACCCACGGTCAGTTACGCAACCTTACAATTCAGAGGGGACTCCCTGCTGGGTTGTTCTTTTATTCACACACAGATCCTGCCACTTCTGATTTCCACCTGTGGCATAGGGTAGCACTGGCTGGGTGGGCAGAAGGTGGGTAGGAAGACTTATTGAATATCTGGTTTTTTTGTTGTTGTTGTTTGTTTGTTTGTTTGTTTGTTTGTTTTTTAAAGAGAGAGGATTCCTTTAGGAAGTGGCATTAGTCTCAAATACTTTCCAATGTGAAAAGAAGAAGAAAAAAAAAAACGATCTTAAGAACTCACTCTTGTGCCAGTATAGTGGCGCACACCTGTAATCCCAGCAGCTTGGGAAGCTGAGGCAGGAGGATCATGAGTTCAAAGCCAGCCTCAGCAACTCAGTGAGGCACTTAGCAACTCAGTGAGACCTTGTCTCTAAATAAAATACAAAAAAGGGCTGTGGATGTGGCTCAGTGGTTAAGCACTCCTGGGTTCAATCCCCAGTACCAAAAAGAAAAAGAACTCATCCTGCAGTGTTTGTTCAAATTTAGAGACAAGATACACACTCTAATGTCCTGGGGATACCCTGGGGCTAGCAGAATTCCTGGTGGAGGGTGCACCAACTTTGACCTTGTAGAAGACGCCATGCCTAGAGCTGGCTACAACCCACCTGTGCCCCTAACAATGATCCTGCTTTGTTTTCTGGGGGTAGAGGGAGGAATAGGCAAAGCCAACAAAGATGCTTCTAGTTGATTCCAAGTACTATTGTTCAATAGACCCAGACTGCTGAGAAATAGGTGTGGTTTCTCTACTTTAAATGCAAAGTGCAGAGGTTGTCACAGTAAGAGTAGTAATTATGTCATCTGTCTTGTCATGGAATGTGACTATAGTAATTGCAACATTCTCTCCCATCCCTGAAGCTTGTAATTATAGTGCAACTAACAGGATTATGTGCTAACTTGGGCTGTTTTAATCACCTCTTTTACTCTGAAATGGATGGTAAAATTCCACAGTTGTTCCCAGACTACTGATTCTGTTCAACATCTGCTGTCCTATAGCTTTGTATGTGCATGTGCTGGGGATGGAACCCAGGGCCTCACGCTCACTAGTCAAGTGCACCACCACAGACCACAGTCCCGGCCCTGGGCTGTGGCCCGAGCAGTCCATCACCACGGAGCTGAGAGCTGATGGGGGATGGGTGGGTAAACATCCACAGTCAGAGGGCTGTAATTTTCTACCAGGATGAAATTCTGTCTTTGAAAACAAATTGTCTATTTTATGTTTCAAAGATAGCAGATGTCTTCTGGAATCTGGAGATGTCTATCACCCTTATTTTATAGGAAGGAAACTTCCAGTCGGAAAAATCAATCTAGGGCTGATTAAGAAAACCCTCTCTTGGGCTGGGGCTGGAGCTCAGTGGTACAGCGCTTGCCTAGCATGCATGAGGCGCTGGGTTGGGTCCCCGGCACCACATAAAAATAAAAACAAATAGAATAAAGGTATTGTGTCCATCTACAACTAAAAAAATATCTTCAAAAGAAAGAAAGAAAGAAAACCCTCTTGCCTCACGTCTAAGGAGCAGATGTAGGTTGATTAATGCCCGGATAATACAATGAGAGTCAGGATGTCACCTTTCATGTGTAAGTCACAAGGTGACGGTCGTGGCCTGTGCTTATGTTTTCCAACCCCATTACCGTAAATGCCCAGGTTTATCTGAGATCCTGTGGGTATAGGAGAATAAAGGGACTTCGGATGCCGTGTCTGGTTAGGGGAGCTCCCTGGGGTGTTTGTTGTAAGATGACAAACACTGCATTGGACACCGCTGTGCCTGACAAGCCCGTCCTCAGTGGTATAAGTCTTAGTCCATTTTCTGCAGCTGATACGGTTCTCGAGGCTGAGAAGTCCAAGAAAATGACTCTGGAGTCTGGCAAGGACCTCTGAGCTGCGTCATAACGAGGCGAGAGGGCAGGCAGTGGCCGAGAGGGAAATCCAGCCAAACCTCCTTTATCAGGAGCCCTGAGAGACAGACTGCTTCTCCCTCTGCTCATGAGGGTGGAGCCCATGTGGACCTCCTCCTAGAGGTCCCACCTGTCAGCACCTCACAAGGCCATCACACCCCAATCTGGATGTGGGGGGTGCACAGATGGCAGCAGTGGTGCTCCAGAAACTTGGGGTGCTGCTGAGAATCCACCCAGACACAGAATGTGGAACCAGTGCTCTGTGGCTGTACACTGGCTCCGGTGGCATCCACTCCTGCGATTCCTGCGGTTCAAGCACAGACAGGGCTCAGGATCCAGAGAGGCATCGTGATGGCTTATAGGGACACAGCTGTGATCTGGAAACAGCACGGAAGGCAGCTGGTCTAAGAGCAGCCTGTTTTCTTGAGAGTGGTGGCATCAAGTAAGTATCACTTTGGGGAGGCGGCAGAAAACTTCCTGGATGGGACCCGCTCAGGACTGGCAGGACAGTCACAGCACAGCTGTTGAGCTATGAGGGAAGAAGGCTCACCAATGTGGGAGGGACAACACGAGGACCCAGCCAGAGTGGCCCCCCAAGCCCCTTGAGCCCCCTCCTCCAGGATGTGGCCTGATGCAATGTGGAGGTTCCAGTGCAGCCCCCCGGAGGCCACCCATGAAGGCTGTTGCTGACATCTGCAGTAGACTGACCCCAGGAAGAAAGCTCTGTGGCATCCCGCGAGCTCGCCTCTGGCTGCAGGGGGATGGCATGTGCAGGTAAGCCATTGCATGGTCAGCCTTGATCCCCCCACAGTGGGGACAGTCCACACATCCCGATGATTATGGTGACTTCATCACTTCTGAGTCTTCTAAGGGGACAAACACCCCACTTTGCTCTTTTCCTACATCCTCTCAATTAGTTACAAGGAGGATGCTCAGCAATCGCTTCCTTGATGAGATAATGAGGTTGATAGAGAATTCAAAATCAACTGGAGCGCGGCCAAGTAAATGAAAGAGGTGGAAATTGAAAACTAGACACTGCAGAGGACGGAGAGCCAGAGGAGGTATCCTTGAAGCACCTGCAGGCCTGACCATTCTGAGGAGGAAGGGGTTTGCAGGGTGGAGTCCACAACAAGAACCCAGCGGTGTCTGCCCCTGTGGCTGCAGAGATGCTGGCATGGGAGGAGGGAGCTGGGACCACTTTCAGGAAGGAGCTGCAGCAGGGCTCAGCCCAGGTGCCCACCCACCACGTGGTTCCTGTGCAATGTCCCGCACAGCTCTGTGGCCTCCAGAGTCGACTTCCCTATTCCTTTGCTCCTATCCCTTGTGATGCTCCACAGGTCCCCTGCAGGCTTGGTCCACCCCAGGCCTCTATGTGCCTGGGAAATTGCAAACCATTGCCAATTTCAAACACTCCCATTCAACTCAACAGACATTTATTTAGGATCTAAAATACTGGCCACAGTGCTACTAAAGGTAGAACTGGAAATCGTCCCAGTAAAAACAAGCTTAGGGATATCTAACACTCCCAGTTTTTACTGAGAAAAGCAAAACTCAGAGAGGTTAATTTCTTTGCCCAAGGTCGCACAGCTAGCTTAGGGGTGGAGATGAAATGAGAATCCCTGTGTTCCTTGGTGCCCCTTTCTCCATTCCACACTCCTAACAAATGTAGGCTATCGGGATTTAGGTGGACTCTTCAGTTCTACTCCTACTTGATTTATCTGAGGGAAAAAAAAATCATTTTGGAATTATTAGTAGGATTCCAACCACTGCTAGTGTAGGTGTGTCTGGCTGGAAATCAGAAGAAGACTCCCTGTAAGATGTGAGCCAGCCTGTGGAGACGCAGGGGGCTTTAGAGCACCTTCTCACTGATCCGCTTTATAGTTCTAGAGAAGACCTGGCGTTGGGTGCACCCAGAGGCAGTGGGGGTGGGAATAGCTGCTGTGCATTCCCCTGCACTGAGCCTCTTGAGCCTAGGCCTCTTGTAGCCATTGCCAAGAAGCCTGAGGGGCAGCTGAGTTAACGCTCAGGCCATTCGGGTGCCAAACGCTGAGGAGACATGAGTGAAAGAACTGGTAGCTTCATCTCCCCCAGCGAGCCCCTCTTGGTGCCGCTCTGCCCCCCAGCCTTCTCTCTGCCATGACAGATGACCATGCATGGATTAAAATAAGTCTGGAAGGGCCAGGGCTGCCTGGCCAGGAGGGGTTCCCTCTGAGGGAGTGGCGTCTGTGAGCTAAAAGGTACAGTCTTGTAAAACAGCAAAACCATGTCCTGTGAGGCGAACAGAGTCCTCTCTGTCCTCTCTGGCTTGGTCCTGAGAGCAGACTGCAACACAAGAGCTGATCACGAGGGTACACCATCCAGCGGCTGGCCAGGGCATCAGCCTTCTGTCTGACTCCTCTAGAAACGGACCAGCAGAGTCATTGCTGGCCGCTGGCCTGGACCCTGCACTTCTCCCCCAACGAGAGTGTGACAAAGGGCCTGGGCCTTCCCGCCAGCTCTTCATCCCTCTCCGGATGCCGACCTGGCTTCCAGGGGTAGCATCTCCATGGCAACATCGTCCTGGGTTAGCACCGCCCGCCTGCAGCCTGTCCTCGGGCCTGTCCACCCGGCACGCGGACCTCTACCTGGACCACCTGGCCTCTAACCAAGCACCCATGCTTTGTCCCCACAGGTCTCCCAGGCAGCCGCTGACCTCCTGGCCTACTGCGAAGCGCACGTGCGGGAAGACCCTCTCATCATCCCGGTGCCTGCGTCAGAGAACCCCTTCCGGGAGAAGAAGTTCTTCTGCACCATCCTCTAACCCCAGTGGTGAACGCCCCTCCTCCGTCCTCCTCTGTCCACCGAAGCCGTAGGGACCACGCATGCTCTCAGCCTTGGGGCGCCCCCGCCCCGCCCCCCCCTCCAGGCTGCCCCCCGCCGGGGGCCTCCCACTTATTCTACACCTCTCATGTCTCTTCACCGCCCCCCCCTCCAGGCTGGCTCACCTCGGTTTTTCATGTTTTCTCCTGACATTCCATTTCTTTTTATTTGCAATCTCTCATTTTTATGTCATTATTTTCATTAGTGGCAAAGAGAAATAGACGTTTTATAGCCAAATAACAAATGTGCCCTGTAATCGCAAGATGGATTTAAGGGTTTACGGTTTTTAAACACCAAGTTTCAATACATGCAGTTAATGAATTTACTCAATAATTCATTGAAATGAAAAAGCGTGCCCAAGTAGTCCCCACTTTGGTAAGTTGGTTTCGGATGAGAGCATCTCGACCAACTGCGAGGTTCAGGGATCCCCCGCCAGGGAGAGCAGTCCTGGGGTCCCCCACTCCGGCTCCTCCAGGGAATCAGCAGCTTCCCTGACCTGCGCTGGGGGCCACGCAGCCCACCCCCGCTGGATGGCCCTTTCTCCCTCCGTTTCACGGGGCCCCCGGCAAGGCGGTCCTCTTCCAAATGCAGCCACTGGAGTGGTAGCCAGGACAGCCCGCAGTCAGGCAGACCCACCGCCACCTCTCCTGCTCCCTCCTACTCTAGCCCGATCCCATCCACAAGGGCCCTTGCTGGGAGCAGCGCAGGTCCAGCGAGGCTTCAGAGGAGTGGCAGCAGTTCCCGGGAGCGGCTGCTGATCTGGCCTTATTTAACTCTCCAACATTGGAGACCTGGAGGGAGGGAAACTGAGGCATGAGAGATGACACGGTTTGCCCACAGTTACCGACAGCTGTAGGGAAACCCCACCTCCTGCTGCCGTGGCTGGGAAGCCTTCCAGGCTTATCTGTGACAGGGGTGTGGAAAGCTCGCCCTATGCTCAGCAGACCTTCCCACCAACGCCCAGAGGAGCCTGCTGAGCCTGCACGGGGGCAGCTTAAGGACGATGATGAGCCCTGCGGGCCCCAGAGAAAAAGCAGACAGTGTGCTTTAGCCTGGGGGCTTCTGAGACAAACTGCAGGCCCCACCTAAACCACTCAGGCGTCCCTGATGAGGGGGAGGAACAGCATGGGAGCAGAGGCTCTTAGTCTAAAATGGTCCTATTCTGAGTATTTGGAACCAGCCTCTCTCCTGGGCTCTGCAGGGCCTTGCTGGGTGGCTGGAGCGATCCACTGTGTGCCCAGCTGTTTTAACCTGCAAAGAAGGCCCGATGTCATTACTCCTCCTGCCTTTCTGTCTGGAAGGAAATCAAGGAGAGCTCTGATTATTGTTTAAAACAAATACATGCACCAAATGTCAAGGTGCAGTGTAGGGAAGAAAGTGGGACTTGAAAGACCCCCCCCCAGCTCAGTGAGATGAGGAATATAAAACTGCCTACAAAGAAGCAAATATGATTTTCAGATCAGTTAATGACGGGCTGCCCTCAAAAGTGGTGTGAGCACAGAGTCATCCTTTGTTGCTTTTTGAACAGGTTCTTAGTTTCCGAAGGCTCACTGATGGCACCAGAGCTGTCAGGAGGCCATCGACTCAGACTTCAGAATTGTACACTGAAGGTGTGATGGGACTTCCATCCTCCTGCAGTGGGGGCTGTGACCAGGCTCTCTTTATTCTGTGGTCAGCATCATTAGCCTGATAAAGCAAAATGCAACCCATAAAAGCACATCAGAGAAGCTGAGAAAGTGGGTCAGCACTTAGTGGCAAAACCAGGTCAAGAGAAAAACGTGCTTTGAATCTTCCACCGAACTTTCTCAACCCTTTTGTTTTTGCTTCTGTCCCTCTGTGTTCCATCTTCCTTTTCTTTCTCTGCCCTTTCCCAGCTCTCTTCCTCACATTCCCCAGGTGAGATCCTTTCACCACACCCCAATTCCAGACCTACAGCACTTTCTGTGGGTCACCCCTCCGGGTGTTCCTGAGCTCTATTCACACTGGGGGCTGTGAGCTGCTCCTTCCCATCATCAGTGAAGACAAATGACATAACAGCTGCCGCTCTCATGGACTGCACCTGTATTGGACAGTTGCCATTTCATACTTTCAGCTTCCTGTAGGGGGAAGTCACCCCTTACACATGAATTTAGTGGGATGTGGTACTCACCCTCCTGCAATGGAAGGTGGAGTGGGTGGGTGTTCCCCATTTTTCAGGTGACCCCTTTCCCACTCTGTACTAGCCAGGGGGTGGTCAGTGACCCAGGCAGACTACATGGATCCCCCTGCTTTGTGTTGTGACCCTGTGTGAAATGCTGAGAATCATCTCATGAAAGCTGCAGTGGTCCTCGGATGGTAAAAGCCCAGCAAGAGAAGCCAGACTGCAGGGGTGCATGTCCACTGGTAGCAATGTCCAGGGACAGCAGGGTCCTGGGCCCCACTGAGCTGCCTTGTCCTTCTTATATCTCCCTCCTAGCTTCCTGTTAATTCTGTGATCCTCCAACCTCCATCTAGTAAATTCTTTATTCTTTTGTGAAATAGCCCAAGTTGGATGGAAATACCATATTACCTAACAATTCTGCTCTTAGGTGTATTCCCAACAGAAATGTGTATGTAAATTCATTAAAAGAAACACTAGAATGTTCACAGAGCACTGTTCATAAAATCCCCAATTGGGAAAGCACCCGAATACCCATGTTGAGTGGGTAACCATATTAGGGTCTCTTCACATGCTGGAATCCTGCATAGCCTGAGAATGAACGGTCTGCAGCTTCAGCCCATAGCCTAGAGGTGAGGGAGGTAAGACGAGTATAGATTATCGATTCCATTTTTATGAAGCACAAAACCTGGCAAACCAATCCAGGTTGCAAGGAGAGATAGGAGGTTCTACTACTACTACAGAGTCACTACCAAGGGAAGATTTACCAAGGGAACAGCCACCGTGGGGGCAGGAGGGAGCTTCCGGGGTGCTCTGATTCTGGATCTCATGCCATTCACCTGAGTGTGTTCCATTTGTGAAAGTTCTTTCATCTGTACACCTTGGATTTGGGTGCTTTTCTGTATGTATGTTGTACTTCAATAAAAAGTTGGGTTTTGTGGCTACCAGTTATGAATCCTACGTCATTTATTTTTTCTATTCTGGCAGTTTTCTCAACTCTTGGCTCCCCCTCAGACATCATCAACATGACGCTAGTGATAACTAACGTCAAGAGTGGGGCATTTTCAGAGTGTGTCTGCAACACTTTGAATTGCCATCCACAGCCTTCTGGATGGAGAACAGGCTATCAGCACCACCCAGGTGGCTGCCTGAACAGATGTGCCAACACCAGGCTGTGGGCTTTGTGGGGAAACAGGAATTCTACAGGGACGCCCCCAGCAGGGCTGAGGTGACAGCCTCTCAGCCCTCCTGCCTCTGACCATGAGGAGTGGAGTGGGGATGGCCTGCCAGGAAACCCATTCTGAGACACCGCCTCTGAGCCAAGAGCCCAGGGGCTCCCTGAGGATCCACACGACACATGTGAGTGGGTACAAAGGGGCAGGAACTCTGGGCCTGACCCTGCTCTTCCGACACGGCTCCCTGTCTGCCAGGCCATGTAGCCAGCCTGCTGGTCCCGATTCCTGAGAAGCTGCGTTGGAGCGTTGGAGCAGTGGAGCCCGGAGTGGTGGCCGGGTGGGTTGGAGTGTGGGCAGCAGGCGTGGCCTGAGGCCATGTGGAGCCCACCATGCAGGATGGGGGTCCTGAGGCCCCACAAACCAAGATGCCAGCCTGTCACCCTTCAGGGGCCAGACCTGGACACCATGAGTCACCTGCTCAGAAGCCCACTCCATGCAGTGCCACAGCCTGGAACCTGGGAGCACAGACCCTCTCACTACCTCAACCTCACACTTCTGACCTGGCCTGAGAAAATGGATGTGGGGCAGACCTGCATGGAAGTCAGGGCTCCAGAGTTGGCCAGTCGGGTTAGTACCTTTCCAAACCCTAATTAGCATAAGTCTGGACCACTAGCAGTGCCCCAAGTGCTATGCAAACCCCTAGACTAGCCCACCCTTATACTGCAAACGGTCTGTTCCTGTTTCTGTCTAGTAAGTTCTACTTGACACTCATTCATCCTGTTCTGTGGATTTCATTCTTGGAATTCAGGAGGAAAGCCCAGAAAGGAAAAGAAAGAGCCCCAACATGTCTTGGCGACAGAGCCTGCTTCCTTACACACAGTGGAGTGGTGAGACTCCAGTCGCCCCCACCAGCAGAAGCAGGAACTGAGTTTCATCTCAGCAGTGTGGTCTCACCTCCACCCTGTGCCCACCCCCAGGGACTCCCGCCCACCTCCCACACCTCACACTGTTTCCAGGAACTCAGTGCTGCCTCCCTCGCTCTCAGCCATTCCCTATTGGCAGCTCTGCTGCACGGAACCCCAGGGGGATCACAGGATCTTCACACTGTCCAAGCGCTTGCCTTTGATCCTGAGCTCCAGGCCTCACAGAACTCAACAATGAGTCAGGAATTGTCAGCAGCCCCCCTCTGAGTGAGCCGTGGGGGAGAGCAAACCAAAGGTCAGAAGGGATTTTGTTCCAGTGGCTGTTCACACTTGAGATTAAATAGTAATGACAAGGGGCTGGGGTTGTGGCTCAGCAGTACACGTGCCTCAGCACCACACAAAAATAAATAAAATAAAGGCATTGTATCCAACTACAACTAAAAAAAATATTAAAAAAAATAGTAATGACAACAACTCATGCTTAGACCTGTGAACATGGGCCACGGCAGTGCCCAAAGGGCTCCTTCCACTCCCTCAGCTCTTCCATAGAGAGAAGACTCCTGTCGCAGTGGTTGTTATGCGGCACCGGAGCACCCTGCCCCTCAGCCTCGTGTCCTCCCCAGAGCCCAGCCCTGGGCAGCATGCTGGAGACGAGCTGGGAGCTCTGCTGGCTCGGAAGGGGTGGCTCTGGGCAGCCTTCGGGGGTCAGCCAGTGCAGGCTTCTCAAACACATTACCAGAGACTGGGTGGCTTATAAACAGCAGAAAGTGATTTCTCCCAGTTCTAGAAGCTAGCCCTCAGAGGTCA